CTATCCATCAAAATAAGCGCTCTTCAGAACAAATTCGTACATAAATGTGTATATGAATATCGCTAAATTCATATGAAAATGGATAATCATCAAAATTTGACCCAGTAATTTCTTGCAACCATTTTGAATTACGAATTTTATTCTGAAATACACAGATCATCAATTACAATTCAAAAAGCATATCATCACAGGCCAAAATACAAATAATGCAATCCAAATAATCAGAGTCAGTTGATCGGACTGAAAGAAGAATGCGTTGCGATCACATCGTTCCATGAACAATCGTTATTGGTTAAAAGAATGAGAGTGATGCGCAGAAGTCAATGGTGATCTGCTGTAAATGTAGCGTGGAATAAACTGAAATCTGAGACAGTTGGAAGGAGAGATTTCATCGGAGAATACAGGCTTATGAAACATTTCATCACTCGAATGCAATGGACCATTGAAGACATTCAATGAATCTCTCTGCAAAAAGTAGGATGATGCGAAGCTGACCAGCTTGCAACCGAGTACAACTTCATTGAATCAACTCTTTCATTTGAGGTTTTTGTTAAAATCATTTTGATTAAGAGTCAAACGCTGTCAATGTTGCCAAATTTTATCGACTGTTTACGCAATTTGGTACCTCAATCAAAGATTTTAAGCGATGAACGAGCGTGGTGAAATCGGGACGTTTTGATGCAATCATGCACCAGCAGGACAGCATTATATCATAGTTGAAATGAGAAGAAAATATCAGGATGATGAACTTTTGAAAGTTGTCAACCTTAACGCTTCTAGTTCTGCGCTTTCATTCAAGTTTTTGTTCCAATAAAAATAGCTGTGGTTTATCCATCAAAAACCAGATGTATTAGTGAACATATATCACTGAACTAGTGATGTTACTGTTCCAGTCAATCTATTCTGCTTCTAGGAATAGAGCGGAGCAGTTTAAAAGATGGGGTGCGGAACAGGACACAGCAGAATAGATTTTGACTATTCCTTGGATCGTTTTCTGTCCAGCATTAGGGGGTGATTATGAGTTGTGTTACCATCGTGGTAAACTTTGGGGTGCGAGAAGAGAACAGAGCATCACAGTTTTAGAGAAATAAAAGTAAATGAAAGCGGAACAGAACAGAATGTAACAGATGGGCAAAATACGGAACAGAAACACCATGAATCTGAACGGTTTCATTTCGTATTCGAACGATGTTCTGAAAAATTAACGCATCAACTGTACATTACGTAAGGACAATGTGTCCGCCTAGGTAATCGCATTCCGTCATCCAAATATTCGAGTATTTTAGAGTTTGATAGATCGCCATAAGGCATGCTGCTCTAGTCATCAAATTCAAGCGGAAAGGTGTTCGAAAAAGCTGCGATGCTCATCGAGGAATCCCTCTTTTGTTTATGCCAGCAAAGATGCTGGCCAGAATTCTTCTGAAGCGACCTGCTTCATGTGTGTCCCACAACGACATTCTGCCACTGAGTCAATACGGTTTCTGCGCTGCACAACGCACGTTTCACGAAGGAGTGCGTGCTTGTATTATCCAACTTTTGAGAATTTCATGTTAAAAGTGATATGAAAAAGAGTGTGCGCTAGCTTCGATCTATGATGATATTAATAGCATTCAAACACTGCTACGTCATTCTACGAATTCAGTTTTGCACATATGATAGTATGTTTAATTTGATTAGACGAAAGACCATGAGAAATATGATTTTGCTGACCAACATGCGTTGATGGCATATGCCGTGCTCGAAAAGAGGTCATAAATTTGTAACTGCAGCAAAATGTTTCGGTTTGATGATAAGCTGATGTGAGTTTGGATCAGCTTCAAACGCAATGTTTAGGAAAAATTGTAGGTACTGAGCGATAAGACGAGATGACGGATATTGAACCGCTGAGATGGTGCAATGTGGTAATTGTCTCACATCGTTTGTAAAAATCACCATCGTTTATAAACCGTTGTGGACAAAATTTACTGTCAATGATAGGAGATGATGATTTCTTGAGGCATCTAACGTAATTGCGCGGAATTTTAGACTTTTTGAAAAACTGACTTCTTGGTACATTTTAAATTATTTATCGTTTTCGATTAGAATGTCGAACTGTTGATAGATTTTTACACTTGTAAACTGAAATGGCAGATTTTTGCATAGCATTTTGAACATTTAATAGTTTTTTTCAGTCCTTCTTACCACTGTATACTGCCTCAAAGAACCGTGTGTGGGTAGCAAACCCATTTATTGAAGTGCCAGACTCGTCCCCTTCCAGCAAAATGAATACCTCAAAAATTTCCTGTAATCAAACGAAAGATGCATTCTATCCAAAAAAAGCTCAAGTCCAAGGATGCTTGTTACGGCATGTGTATGAAACCTGAAGATTAGCGGTGAAAGTTTCCCTTGTGGACTAACAATATTGGTTCAGTGAAAAACATCTGCAAAATAGAAGCAGTAGAAACTAAATTGTTTAATTATATCAATATACTAGATCACTATTGAGAATTCAACTTAACTTGCGAAGAGTTTGGTTCTTTTTTATGCTTGGTTCTTCTTTTGCTTTTTAATGCGAGAACTCTGACACATTGGCGTAATCGTTCAGAGTAGTGTGAACAGAACTAGGATGCCGTTTCATCGCTTTTTAAGCACTTCAATCTGATAGAGTGGTAGTTTTAACATAGATTCGATTGTTTTATGACCTCTTATTCATTCTGCACTTTCATCCCTTATTGACTGTTGTAAATGGCACCGATTGTCAAAGCCACTCTTAAGCTCGTATCCTGGCGATGAGACTACTGCAGGCACATTTAAAGAGCAACAAAAAACAGTTGCTACTCTCTCAATAATGGGAAAGCATCATCATCTTGAAGTATCCTTCAGGTTTGAGCCCATGGAACGTCATCCGATCTAAGGATTCCGATAAAAAGTATTTGTTTGCACATGTATCAGCTGTGAGTATCTCACCATGCTTCATGAGTGCCTCAACTAAAATATTGGACTGTTCAAGTGTTTTTATTATAGTGCTTGTGTGATAACCACATCTTAATCAACCCAAACTTTATTAATTCGAACTCGACAGTTAAAGTTGGAATCATCGACCCAACAGTTTTCGCCAAGGCTAAATTCTTGTAAGTAATGGACTAACATTGTAAATGGAGAATGAGCATACCGAGTGTCACCACTAACGCGAAAATCCAGCAAAATATGCAGAAGTTAGTAAAACTATATGTGGAAGTGAGAACAAGCTACAATAGGTCCATGCGAAGCCAGTATCACATCAAGTTGCTAATCCAGTACAACAGCAGATGGAACGGCTAATATTTTTGAATTGTTCTGATCCATTGTATAGAATGGAGTAGGAACAGAACGATAGTCTGGTCAAGTGATGAATTAGTAAAAAAGATCTCACTTGCAATGATGCATCCTTAAAGTGATGGCATTAGGCAAAATTTTGGCCTAACATAAATTCAATCATAAATCGAGAAAAGAGCAATAATATTGACACATCAAAAATATCAGAAAAATCCCTCGAAGTATCAAAAATCTTGAAAAATATCTAGAACAGCAATAATGCTATCGAATGTGATTACAATAACAATTGAGCAAGTACCACTTGATTTTTTATTCCAACTAATAACGTTAAAATCAAACTGTTATTGATTAATTTTCTCGAGAGGTAACAAAAAATTAACATGACTGACACGAACTGTCGAAATGTTGGCCACTTTTTAGTGCTATGCACTGATTCAACAGGTACTTAAAGTTTGTTGTCGCTTATGAAACAATTTTTTTCGTGTCACATTCAATTATCACACGATATGATTGGATTATTTTCTTATACATACTTTTGATTTATCATATTCTGCTCGTTGTGATACTTCTGAATCAATCTTATGTAGCCAACAAAGCATCTCATCTTGTTTTCTCTCTGCTATTCAGCAAGTGAAAAAAATGGTTCCGTTCGTTTCAGGAGATGTGTCTTATCTTCGAGCACTTTTCGTTTCTTTCTCAGCGCACACTTATGAACGTTTTACAATAGATTATCTTTCTAAACGTCCACAAATCACGTACACTTCGTTTTTCTGGTTCCTCAGTCTGGCTCTTAAAAGAATGCATATTTCAAGAAAGTCACACATAACGGACCGCATATGATTTGCTTTACAAACAATACATTTACAACTATCATTTATCCTGGTGTTCACATGTTTAGTTGTGTATTTATGTTCATACGTAACGTGAAGTTGCTGCTGAAAAGAAGGTGAAGTTGAATTGATTGCATCATCGCGAACCAACTCTTTCCTCCAACCGATACAACAACCACCTGGCTGACTAGTGCTGCTAGCATGTGATCAATATCTCAGTTTATCTTCGTGTCTTGAGCTGCAATTGTTCCTACTCTTTCTCTTTGCTCTTATCCTTATCCAAACATATGTTGGTGATTGTTGGTGATACCCAACATGTTTGCAGTAATACCATCTTATCTTGAAAGTGAGCGCGTAAAACATAACCCATATGCAAGCATTATGTTATTGAAAACGAATGAACGTTGTTGTTGTCTTGTGAAGAGCCATTCCAATCTTCCAGTGAAGTATTTTATGGCGAATTGAACTTGTCTTGTAGCCTTATTTATTAGTTTCCTACTTTTCGATCGTCTTTTACCAGTAATCTCAGTATTTTAGCTGCTGCTATTCGTTTTTGCTGCTTCCGTGAATGGATAGCTCAGCTCTGTATTGGAATTTATTCACTCACGAAGAAGCCGATTTTTCAGAACCACATTAATTGATTGATCTTTTCATTGATTCACTATCTGTGCTGAAATGTTCACCGAGAAAAAATGGTGAATTAATAGTAAGAGTTGCTGCTGTGATTTTGTTCGTATTCCAAACTTGAATTCGGTAAGAAACAGAGCACTATCACACCATAGTTTATCATACAACCTGGCTATCTATCCACTTCATCGTACTTTTTGTCTCACTTAGTTACCCAGGAAAAAGAAGTTATCAACTTTTCAGAAACGAATGGATCTCACTGAAGTGCCAACCACATCGCGATTATTCGATGTTCCTGATCTAAAATACTTTTGCACTCGCTTCATTGCCATCTCACTATTTCAGGTTTTTTTTTTCAGCTTTTCTTCCGATAGATACTTTTGCTGAATTTTAGAGATAAACAAGTAATAAAACTTCTTAATAATCTTCTGTTTGAGTTCTGAAACGAATTCATCTGCCATCATAATCGATTTCCTCGTTCCGTCAATCATTCCGATCGAACATCGCAAGCAATAATAAATTGCACTGAAATATTGTGCTTATAATTTATAATGCCGATGATTTAATTCATAAAGGCCAAAGGACAGCTTCTTGGTGGGGTCAACCACATATATTATATACTGCACTCATCATTCAGTCGTTTAAATGTCACCACATGATTTGGTCACGTCGACTATTTTGAATGCAGTGTAATATCGCAGTTTGGAATATAAATGAGTGCATATGTTTCGTTTGTATTTGATACCGTAACTTGTGCATTTCCAGGCCAATATTCGTTGGCGGAGATTACCAGATGTAGTGAGAAGTTTAAAAAGTTGGCTAGCCGAAGTGGAACTAGCACCACTCATGAAGAAACAAATACATGCTGGAATTGGTGAAACTGTTCGTGAAGTGCAACGATGGGGTGATTGCCAGAGTTCATTGCTTCTTTTTTTTTCGGAGAACTCATGTTGCCTTAGTTTTGAGATTGGCAAATCGAAATTATCACTTATCGATTATGATCAGAGTTGAGATCATCTCGAGAATGTAGTTTGCTAATGCGCCTTTTATAATTTCTTCTGTGATTGTCCACATGACTTATGAGTGTGAATTAGTTTCAACAATGCCACACATTTCCTGATTGTTTTTGTGATGACTTTTCAGCATCACTCCCGATTGACGTAAACTGCGATTCCTCTATTTTCTTGTGAATGAAAGTCATTCTCACATAACTAACTGCAACCGTCATAATTTTGGAACTACGAATAAACAAAGTTTTTTAGGTGAAAAACATGTCGATCTTTTCGAAGAAGAGAAACCTCGACTGATAGGCGACTCACGAATTATTCGAGTTCAACGGTGTGAACACTTACGCATGTTCTATGGGAGTATCACTTGGAAAGAAAATAAGTTAGAATTTCACAATGTTAAAAATGCTGTGATAGGTAGGAAGACATGATAGATAGCAAATAAGTGTTTATACCGCAATTGATCCCATACAACGGCTAGTAGGATACAAACTATCCTGCAGATACTGTCTGTAAACGCCATCATTTTATAAGTTTGGTTATGTCGTAAAATGCTTTTAATGAATGCTAAATAGTCATTTTTATCCGATATTATTCGTACACAATTCCACAAGCGATCCACGGAATTCCTTCGATAAGAGGCCCAAAAATGTGACACATTTTTAATTCATTAAAAATAATTTTATAAGATTGATTTGATCAAACGAGTCACTCAGAATTTCAATACCTTGACGAACAATTCAATGATTATTTACGTGTGTGTATACTGAGTGAGTGATCTTCTGGATGAATAATCGATTCATGTGAAACTGTGAGGATGACTGACTGCAGCTGTTGAGATTAGCTGGACATAAGTGCGAGCTTTCAATGCTCACTTTTCTTGATATTCACTATAATTCATGATGGATGAGAAGTGTTGCACAACATAATCGAATTAATTGATCGATACAGATATGAAATTGATGATTCGGCAACTGCTAAGAAAATCATCACAAAGGATTGTGCTGACTGGCCGCAAATGCAGTTTCAATTTGCATGTGCTTATGCAATGCTGGAACTTCTAACGGATCAAGCAGTCTTCGACCGCATACGTCGACGAGCGTTCTCGTAATCCTTGAAATTATTAGATTTTATTCTCAACTTTAACGAAAAATCGAAACAGAATCTGATGTTACCTGGTTTTATCTTAATGAATTTCTGAAGGACATCTGATCTGACTGATGGGCACTTATGAATGATTTAAAAAAAAAAACTGAAGTGACTGCATAAACACTTACTAACTGAATTCAATCAATAACAAGAAATACCAAAGCAGTGGAGAAAGAAATTTGAATGAAGCTAAATTCTTCAGGAAAAGGCTTTCAAATCACTGCCTGTATGATTTTTGGCTGACCATTTTGAGTGACTCCATTGCATGGGAGAAGATGTTCAGCTCAGATGCGGTTGCTCCAAAGCAGAAGTTATCATTGGTTTTTCAATTTGCAATCGTTAATGGCTATTTTGAATTGATGAATTTCATTTGGGAACGTGTCTCTGAGCCACAACGCGAATATATTGGTATGGTCATTTTTGAAGCAATTTAACTAACGCTCATGTGAATAACCAATGATCCTTTCAAATAGGATTTATAAGGAGAATAGCTGTGCATTTATCTCAATTAGTAGTTAATGATATTTCTCAAATAGGAATGCTGCAATGGAGACGAGTGTGTTTTAAAGCGAAGCATCGCGATGTGATGCGTTTTCTTTGCAACCGACTTTGTGTGATCAATCCGAGTGGTTTAGCTCGTATCACATGGAATACATTCTATGATACTCTGCACAATTCATTTCAGGCAATAATTACTTTCATTTAGTTGCTTCATGGAATAAGTTCATAAATTCTTACATTTGTTACATTCACAATGACAACGAGACTCACAGTCGTGTCTATGTATAATATTTTCTGAAACAAAATGCAGTCAATTCCGAAATTTTGGCTTTCTCTTCATTGTTACTGCTTATATAATACTATCGTTGAATTCATCCATTTGTTCCTTAGGTGATAGGATATTGTTGGGTTCACTTGCAAATATGGCTCTCCTAATGAACACTGAAATAGGGAATGATGACAAATTTTCACGATCATTAGTGCGATTTTAGTATGCAAATGCATAAAAAATTGGTATCTGATAAAAATCAATTTAGTAAAGTGAGGAAAAGAGAATTCGGTTAGTTAGTATTGTCGAAACGAGGTAACTTATGCGTTGGCTTATGAATTTTGCAGAATGCCGAGAACAAAGGAAGTGAGAAGCATGAAGACGACGTTCGTAAGCTTGAATTTTTGTTGGATAATTGTTGTCCACGACTGCGAAATGCGATGCTATCAATGGAGAATTTCAAGTCTGTTTGTTTTTGTTCTCTTTTTATCCAGTTGCATGCAATCAGTTCATTTTTTACAGATCTCACTCATCACATTTTTACAGAGCCATCACGGATGCATTTGCTTACAATCAGGTTGAGACATTCGCAATTCTGTTAGAACATCTCGACTCTGAGCAATTGCGATCGGCAAGGGAATTTGTTGATCGTATTTATGATCGTAAACAAAACGAACAAGTACGTGGATTCAGACAAATGATAATGCGACGACAAAACACGATTGACTAAACAATTGCATCCAACGATATATGTATTCTTGATTATCAATACGGGTATCAAATGATACAGTCCTAGTTGAACATCCGTCTATTCGTCATGAATCCTTGCTCACGTACATTTTTCTGAGTTCATTAATCTATAATTTTGAAACAGTTCATCGAGCTCTACGTTTTCATGCGTTCAAAGCCGTTCTTCGTCTATTTGTTCAACTCTTTTCACAATGTGAACGATTTCCGTTTGGCATGATTCATGCTCTGCATCAAACAAGCGATTGAATAGTACATATAGTGCACCATTTACAGTTTTATTAATAAATTGTTTTTGCTTGGTGATAGCAATGAACGGCTATTTTCATTGGCATAGTTATTTACTGACCTTCCATTCTGCTATTCACTCATGAGTGTATTACAGGTTTCGTTCGAATCTTCCATTCTGTCATTACTGCTTATTTTGAGAAGGAAAGAAGCAAGAACAAAATTTATGAACAAATTAACTTGCATACATATTCAGCAGATAAAAGGATATACTAAAAGAGTACAATCAATATTCGTCAAACAATCCTTAACAATTTATATTAATACAGATATAATCAGATAAATCATCCCTGCTGAACATATATAAATTGTTTGACGATGTTATTCACTGAATGTGAAGATGAAGAAAAATCTAGAACGAAAAAAGCATTCGTGAATTGCACTAAGTTTGTCTCACAAGCCGTGTTCAGATTACATCAGATAACGATGATGAAAAGTGAATCATTCGCTTTGTATTTTTGCCTTAGCGCAATCGTCAGCAAACTTCGATGTACGGTATTCGTCAGCAATACAATGGTCAATTTATGCAAAATGATTGACGTTCAAATGAAATGACGTAACACTGAGAGAATCGTTGGCAAACAGTATACTGTAGTGATTCAGTTGATGAAAACTAAGATTAAAGACAGAGTGATCAAAGCAAATGAAACTGCGTTTTGCGCTGCAGTTAGTTCAGCAGCACCATTGCCGTTGCATAAGTCGTGACCATTGCAACAACATAATTTCACTTTTTTACCATTATATTTGTGCTTTATGCATTTATTTTTCGACAACTGAAATTCATCATTTTATAGAATTTTGCATCAATTCCATTTCAACATTTCGTATTGATGCAATCATCTTAGCAGCAGTTCCTTGTAAATGATGAAAACCAATTTAATGTTACACTTTTTGCATCACTATGCAGAGTTTTTATTGATGGACTATGGTGAGAAATTAAGCGCTAAAATATTTCTAATAACTTCACTGTACTTTATCGTGGATACCTTCCGACTTGTATATTTTCACTTCTTGTCTTTTTTGAACAAATCTAACAGAATATTTGTTCAAAAAATATCTGAAAACGCCTAAGTGCACAGCTTGTTATTTGATGTTTATGGCAAATGAATAAATTAAATTCCACGAGAAAAGCGTGAAGATTATTTACTCACAGTGAATACTTCTCATGACCAGTGATGCCTAAGCTCCGAAGCCAAAAAAAAAATCTGTTTGGCTCCCTCAAAAAACATCACAGCAACATTCGCTAGCCGAAACTGAGATCGACAAGATAGTTTTTTCCGAATCTAAATTACTCCGGAGCCTGAGCTGGAGTCAAATCTGGAGCCGATTTTTCAAAGAATGGGAACCGGAGTTGCAACTGGAGTAGGACTTTCGAAAATGCGGAGTTGGAGCTGAAGCCAAAAATAAGAAAATACGAAGCAGGATCTGAACTTTCCGGAACGCGGAACCAGAAAGGAAATTCCGGAATGTGCAGAGCTGAAGCCGGAGCTAGAGGTGAAACTCCAAAAAATGCGGAGCCCGAGTTGGAGCTGTTAGAAAATTGCAAAAACGTGAGCTGACAAAGACAAAGCCGGGTCAATTAAATTGAAATTAGGCATCACTGCTCGTGACATTCGCTTGCAGTGGTGAAGTGTGCTCACTTACAATGCATTTTATTGATGCACACCCGGCTGCCTTCACCTTATGCACAATATTCGTATCCGCCGTAACGTTATAACAGTAATCGTTTTTGCCACTACATGTCTCCATTGATGTACCAACGTTTTGACCACGCACGAACGTGTATTCAGTGAAACACTTGAGTGCATTCGCATCCTGACTCAGCAGTAACAATCCGAAAAATGAAAATAAGAACCACATTGTTCAGATGACGTTTATATCCAAAACTTTTCACCGTAATAGCCAATCGATATTGACTTTCTAAACACATAAAACAAGTGAAAAGTAGACTGATTGCATATGCGCTGAGTGAAACGACCTTTCATCACATGATTGATGTTTCAGTTCTGTGGATTTTGACGAATGGAGAACAATGAAACTGTTTGCCGAGCGGATTAAATGAACAGTATCAGTGAGACTTTAGAGTTATTAGGATCACTGATATGATCGAGTAGCAAATGAGATGAATTGTTTATCAAAATTAGTATGCATAGCAATATTGAGTTTGGCATGAAGAGTATTACCGAAGCAACTGCTAGAGAGTATGGCCAAGCATTCTAACTTCTTTGCTCTACACTGTTATTCGCAATTTGAAGCATTTGAGTGAAAAATTGGCCGAAAAAAAAAGCATTAAGCTCTCATTCACNAAAAAAAAGCATTAAGCTCTCATTCACTGAACATACTATCGAATGTTAAATAGTTCGGTCGAGAAGCACGAGCTTTCGTTTGTTTCCATCCGACTTACATTCAAATGGGAAGAGAGCTTTCGCGTCAGACCATCACAAACAAAAATTCAAGCTCAATCTTAAAGAGTTTGGCGGATGTTTTATATTGATCAGCTGAATTAATTAAGAGAGTACAAATCGGATTCGAAATTTCGAACATTAAATAATGTATTGAAAGCGCATCTAGCGTAAAACACAAGTAATCGTAATCGAAAACAAAATAAACAAATAGATAAACAAAACAAGCGGACATATATAATACGCTTAAGATAAGGTACGTTCAGTCCGTTTATCTCGAACAACAACTTTATGTGTTCCACTTCATTCTTTCATTATCAACAGAATTGATAATCGAAGCAACAAAAGCACATCCGAACATATAATTTTTGAATTTCACGCTGAGAATGTAAATAGGTTTTGCAATCACTTTCATGAGCTGACTTTTTAACAGTTAGGAAACAATCGAATTTTGATTTCTTACTTAATCAACAATCACCAAAGAATTGCCATGTTCGAGATTCATATTAATTTGTTCAACTCTGAGCCGAACATTCGTCGACTCAGGTCCTTTTAAATCTATTTCTCCCATAAACCATACGCCGTAGAGCCTCCAACTGAGCACGTCATATTCACGCGATTGACTTGAATTTTGTTCGAAGCTGAATGACTTTCTTACAAAAGCAAAAATGACACACAAAAGTCTATCATTAGAAATTTGACTATGAGAATTTTCAATGTTGAATAAGAACCTTAAAAGCGTGAAAGTGGTTGCAGCAATCAAATTCGTATTTAAACGATTTATTCGCTAATAAGTTGTCTACTTCTGTAAACGTTTCAGTCAAAATGTAACCAATTCTGGTTGAATTCTATCAACCCATAATGCGACATTTTTTTAATAGCGCATAGATTTAGCACGTAGTTAGCATGGAATATCGTTGAATTTGTTCACCCGAAAAACTCGAAAACGAAAAGCAAACGATTCTACAGTCGTGCGATTTGTTTCACTGAAATATATATCCTCTCAGGAATGCATTTCGTCGTTAATAAAAAGTGATCATTAAGATACGGCCCAACAGAATCAACAAGCACACTTTCAATCATTAGAGATCTATTTAATGCCATCTTCTTTTAAAAAACACTTTGTTTTGTGCGCTATTTGTGAACTTGATTCTCTCAGTACAACAATATCATATCTGTTGAACAATTATGAAAGAGACGTTTTTCTAATTTGATTTTATCAAACATCGTCATAATGTCTCACGTAGAAAAAATTAAACTCGTAATGAACAATAAAATATGTCATTCAATCAACTGAATATAGTTAGAAATGCATCTTAACTATTGCAGAATTAATAAATTATCATATTCAATCATCACATCACTCGAACAAAACTTATAACTGTGGGCTTTCGGAAGTTGTAGATTTAGCAAATACACTGTCTTCAAACCGAGCATACAATTAATACGGCGGTACTGAAGACAATGAAAGTTCAAAACGAACATGACTATTAAGAAGCCAACACTGCATTCAAAACACCTACTTAAAGGTGCGCTTTGATGTCACTGAGCAAAGAAACTCGCCACTTGTTTAAGAATGCAAGAGCTATAGATGCTTAAAGAACGGATCATGAACGATCCCTCGAACAAATGCCATTCACTTCACAACGAAAGCGAAAAGAAATGGTCAGATAAATGTGAGTGCATTTCCATTCAGCAATAAAATTTGCTTGTAGTGGACGAGACAGTCCAATTGAAAATGAATCATAAAAATGAACAATCAACAAATGAATCCTTTAAAAAAAGAAGAAATTCAGTAACAATTCATTGTTAATGTCTTCTATGAAATTTTTAAAGCCAACATGTGCTTCATCTCACGCCTTTTCGTGTTCTTCTTCAAAGAGGACGGATCTTGCCGTCTTCACGTTTTTGTACTCAGGGCAATAGACTCCTTGTTAACGGGTAATAGTCGCCTTCTCACTTGATCGAGTGTTCCTTTGCATCATGAGTTATTATCTTTGATGCACCCTTCGGTTTCCCATCGATTTTTTAGGATTAGCATCTGGGAGTAAACCAATGAAACTGAGAAAGTTGTAAGTATCCATAGCGAATACGAGAACCTCATTGTGATCGGATCAAGAGGGACCTTCACAAAATTTCTACACCCTTCAGTATGGAAACATTCATTCTGAAAATGAGATATCTCTACAGTGATGTTTCACAGTTGTGTTTCTGGAGCACTCACGTTCCGTGCCCTTTCTTCGCTTTATGGCAAACCGACATTCCACCTCGGACAGTCTAATATATTTTAAACAACTGAGAAGAAAGTCAAAAAATCGATTCAATGATTAAGAAGTTTACTGCCAATAATTTTCGCTGGTTCCAAAGGAGTTAATTTTCTGTGCTCGAACAAGCACCCTGAAAACATTACTATGCAACTGTAGAAGAACTATGAAAATAAAAAGTCAATGATGGCTTGTCAGTCATCGCAACATCGTGCTGGAGGCCATTTCCACCTGCCTACGAAAAGCGCTGATCTGTGAGAATTCTCATTTGAACATTGGTGCTTCACTGAGAATTAAAATTACGACAAAGCAACGATTAGGTGAAAGTTGATCGCAATATTTTTGGAATATATCGAACAATTGATTCGTTGTACAACGATTCAGTAGCTGAACGAATAAAATGTGGGCAGTGATCAGTAAAAGCGGCTGAGAGAAAGTACAGAAAAAAGCAATAACGAATAATCCAGAGAGCGGGCAAGGAAAATTGAGGAGGTATATGGAAGAAAATGGAAAGTTGCATATTTATTTAAAAACTGTTGAATACTCAAACATGCAGAAGCAGTAAAATGTAAATGTTGCAATTAATGCATTTTGAATTCACTCCTTGCTGCTGAACATTTACACTTGAAAACGTTTACTCGCAATCAATGCGCAATGCATAAACCAATAATTAGAAAACGAAAAATTCGTCTACAATCGAAAATTCATCTGAACGAATAATCTATCTGATGATATTTTTGATTCTGTATATTCAGACTAATCCGTGGCCCAGTAGGGGATATTTTCATTGATATCAGCTCAAACAAACATGAGGCAATCGTTATAAGCGGCATCAATAATCTGGTATAGGTATTTATCGGTGCGGTTGCTTATTTCAAAAAAGACTGTAAACTTTCCATAAATAAGGTTTATTATGCTGAAACCTTGAAAAGCGCTAAAGTGTGACGTCAGGACTAAGAAAAAGGCTGATGATTTACGCCTTTACAGTTTGAATTGATGTTTTATCCCTTGGAATTGATCTCATTCGTTTCACATGTCGGTGATGCAATCTAAAAGAACCGGCACCTTGATCTGAATGAATTGATGAATATATTCGAAGAAAATCCAGGAACATCCTGCTAAACAGTGTAATGGAACTAATCCATTACCATGAGGTCTATTTGTAGTCTTTGATCATTATCAGCAGAAAAAATTTCATGTGTGGG